CCCCTGCGTCAGCTTTGTGGCCTCCTCTGGATTTGTTCCAACAGCTCCATGTCCCTCTTAGGGTGAGGACACCAGAACTGGATGCAATATTTGAGGTGGGGTCTCACAAGAACAGAGTAGAGGGGGAGAATCCCCTCTCCTGCCCTGCTGGCCACACGCCTCTGGATGCAGCCCAGGGCAGGGTTGGCTTCTGGGCTACACGAGCGCCCTGCCGGCTCATGTGGAGCTTCTTGTCCATCAACACCCCCAAGTCCTTCCCTTCAGGGCTACTCTCAGCCCACTCTGTGCCCGGTTTGTATTTGTGCCCGAGATTGGCCCGACCCAGGTGCAGGACCTTGCCTGTGTAAGTGCACATGAATCTTGGGGAGGCAAAAGTTATAGCCATGCAATTGATATTAAAACAGAAACCTTGGAAAATAAGTGCTTGTCTTTTGAGTGATTTGGTTTGTGAAAGAGGCTTCAGTGGTCTCTAAAACGCTTCTTGTGTCGTAGGTACCTTCAGCCTCCAGGCACTTGGATTCAGTGTGCCTTGGAATCAAGAGAGCTTCTTGCTTTGTGTCTTAAAAAAATCAAAGCTTCCCTGAGCAAGGTGAGTAGCTAATCCTGTTGGTATTTTATTATTTGTCTAGTGGTACTGCATAAAGTGAAGTCCAGCGAAGTTGTGCGAGCGTTGATCCTTGTGGAGCAGCCACTTCAGTGCTCCTGTAGAGCTCATCCTCTGATCTATATTAAACACAGAGAATGACAGTCTGACCTCAGATAACTCTGTACTAGAATTTTGGAGGAACCTTTTTTGCAGTTTTCTCCGTACTAATTTTTGAAATTGTTTGTGCAATACTTGTTTATGACGATATGAAAGAGGGTTGCAGAGATCAACATAGAGCAAGAATTGAAAGTCATGCTTAAGTTGAGTAAAGTAGCTCTTAGGTTCAGAGTCTTACCAGAAGAAAAGATCTAAGAGAGTGCTGCAGCAAAAAGAATTGTTTTGTTACCGCGGTCATAAATATTTGAATGAGATTGCCTTACTGAGCTTACTAAGTATTTAAATATACAGAATTTGTTTTGCAGCAGCAAATTTGCCTCTTCTCAGTTTTAGACATTAAAGGCTTTTAAGTCTTGAGAAAACGATTGTGTTATCCGAATTCTTCATTCCGTGGCATCCAGAGATAGTGCTGAATAGTGTATTCTGTGGAGCTTGTTTTGTGGCAGTCGGAGCTGTGTGTTTTTAACACGTCCTGGCACAACTGGTGGCAACAGCTGAATTCTTGTTCTTTCCCCCACGGCAGGTCCGGCTGATCGACGCGGGCTTTATTTGGACCGAACCGCATTCGAAGAGGCTGAAGCTGAAACTGACTGTTCAAAAAGAGGTAAGTGGAGTACAGTGTTGTGCGTGGGGTTTCTGGAAGCTTTTATGGCAAACAATATGATTTTATTTAATTTTTTTATTAGTATTATTGCATCTTAGATAAGTGGATTTCCTTGGTGACGTCTAGTGTGTGTTTACTGGCTTACCTTGAAAAAATATTGATCTCATCCTGCCTAAATTTTGTCATTAAAGTGCTGTTCATCACAATTCAAAGAAGGTTATTGGCTGTTCCAGTAAAGTTGGGAAAATACTACGAATATTTGTGACCTAAATGTAGGTGTCTGCCACATGGTGGATATGGAAGTTATTTGAGAAAACTGTGGTGGGCTGGCTTTCTGTCGCGACAGAACTGAGGAGAAAACCTTTTAAACTTTCGCTTTGCAGGTGATGAATGGAGCAGTTCTTCAGCAAGTGTTTGTGGTGGAATACATAGTTCAGTCGCAAATGTGCGAAGACTGTCACAGGATTGAAGCGAAGGATTTCTGGAAAGCTGTGGTGCAAGTCAGACAGAAGGTAGAGGCAAATTGAATTTTCTTTTGCTGGTGGCGGGACAATCAGGGAAGACAGACCTTTGGATGGATTTTTGGTGTTGGAAACGGTGGTACAGGTTGTTTATAAATACTTAAATCTTGTTTAAAGAAGATTGCATCCTTAGCAAACAGTTACATAAGAGTGAGAAACAGAAGCTTTAAATAATTGGTTCTAAATGGAGCACGTCTCTGAAATATTTTTGATTACTTGGAATAGATTTTGGACTGTCCCTTCTCTAGATGATCTCTTCATATAAATGTTTATTCTTCAGAGATACCGCGTTTGCACCAGGCAGTTCTTAAATAATCGAGATACTTTTATCTTTGGGTTTAGACCCTACACAAGAAGACTTTCTACTATTTGGAGCAGCTGATTTTAAAACACAGGCTTCATCAAAATACCCTTCGCATCAAAGAAATCCATGGTAAGTGCAGTCGCTTGTTAGCCTCGAGGTAGAACGGACTAATTGGTTTGTATTGGAAAAGTGCTTATATTAGTAGCTGTGTACAGATAAACAGCAGATTACTTGGGCTATGTATTGTATTTGGGAAAAAAATAGGTAGTATGTGAAATAGATATATTCATCAAGCTTTCTTTTCTTTAAGATGGCTTGGATTTTTATTATTCTTCAAAGCAACAGGCACAGAAGATGGTCGACTTCCTTCAGTGCACGGTTCCATCTAGGTACGTCTTTTCCGTTTATTGCCTTCAGTAATCAAAACTTTTGGGGAAATTTCTTTTCTCCTTCTCTTTTTAAAGAGTAATTGAAAGTGTAAAGAACCTGTATTCTCCTTAAAACAGCTGAAAGTCCCTTCTGCGGGAGCCCTGTTTTCCCCTTGGCAACTGTAAAACTAACTCTCATGCATTTTTCCATTTCCTTAATTCTTCTATTTGTAGTGCAGAACTCTGTGCTTTTGTTGCTGTACTTTGCGCTGATTATCCCCCGTAACGCCCTTCCTGCCTCTTTTTATGTTTTCTAGATCAAAATCGTCCCAACGCTTGATCTCGCACGACATTCATAGTAATGTCTACAATTACAAAAGCACTTTCTCCGTGGAAATTGTTCCCATATGCAAGGTGGCTTCTCTCAATTTTGTCTTCAGGGAGTTATGTGAAGCGAGTGGAGTTGGGTTTTGGTGCTGGAGGCCTCACTTTTTGTGTGTTTGGGGTGATGGAGAGAGATCTGCTTCCTGAGGGGGGAAAAAAAAAAGCGTAGATTGAAGTTAATTGAGGAAGATTTTGACTGGAGAATATGTAGTAGAGAAATCTGAAACAGATTTTTTTTTTTTTTTTTAAAGACTTGATTAAAAATGAAGGAAATACAAGTGTAAATGTTCTTTGCGTTTGCGTGCAGGACAATGTTGTGTGTCTGTCACCAAAACTGGCGCAGAGCCTGGGTAACATGAGCCAGATCTGTGTGTGCATCCGAGTGACGAGCGCCATCCACCTCATCGATCCGAGCACTCTGCAGAGTAAGTTACGGGTTCTTTCCTGTGCAACTGACTTTTCTGCTTTTGGGAGTTTGGTTTTGTGTTTCTTTTTGTGAAATCCTGTAGTTTTAGACCTTAATGTTATCTGCACACTCACTGGTGTAGAAACCGAATAGCAAATTAAGACGACTGAGCTTGATTTCTATCGCGTCCTAGGCAAAGTGTGCAAGGTCGGTGTGAAGTTCATGGGTGTTGTAGGCTCAGATTTGTCAGGTGCATTCCTCTAAAATGAGATGGCATCTGTTTTTTCTCTGGATGATGAGTCTAGCCACTTGGGTACCAGAAATGCTGGGCTGGGGTTGGTGTTTGCTGGTAAGCTCTACCAGCAAAATGCCTCTGACGAGGATACTTTCCAAGCAGAACCATTCCTGTTAATAAAATCATTCTGTGCTTGACGAGGATACTTTCAAAGCAGAACAATTCCTGTTAATAAAATCATTCTGTGCTTTCGACACACAATTTTGCTGCCACGGGTCGACCGCCCTCGTCATGTAAGTTTGCAATGTGGGTCACATCCTAAATAACAAACCTGAACAACAAGATGCCTTTGGTAGTTGTCTTAATTTTGGCTAATGCTTCCTTTTAATTTCTCGACAAGAAATTCTCACCCTTGGGATTGCTCACACTGGTGGGTTTTTGATTTTTTTTTTTTCCAGTTGCTGAAGTTGATGGCAATACCTACTGGCGCCACCCTTTCAATAGCTTGTTTGAGCCCAAACAACTAGAGGAATTTATCATTATGGATATCAATAGGGTTCAAGAAAAGAAGAAAGGGGCAGGTGCAGGGGCGAGATCAAACAAGGTAAGAGTGTCTCTGTTAGTGTTTTGGGCCTCTCTCCCCTACTCAGCTGAGCTTTATTTTGCCCTGCCCGGTCAGGTGGATGCTTTTTGGCATCTTGTCACTGGCAAAAGTTCTTCTCAGGAAGATGTGGACAGGGTTTTGGTTTGGAAATTTTGCAGACATTAATGTGAATTCCACTTCTAGCACACTATTATCCATTGAAGAGTTTAAACTCTGCTCGTCGCTGTCGTTACTGAAATTATTTTATGTGTTTTGCAGCTCTTCAATTCTTAAATTATTTCTGTTGAAGGGTAGAATAATTTATTTTTAATTAGAATGAATGAATCGGTACCAAACGCTTTCTTCTCTGTCAAAAGCTGTATGTGATTGAAAGAAGTAAAAAACAAAAAAAAGAAACAAAAGACCACCAAAACCCCTGTCCAGTTACGGAAACAACCTTAGTGGAATTCTTGTGAAAAGCAGTTGGCATGTCCCTTTCCTTACTTTTATAAAGATGAGAAGTGAGGAGTAGCAAGCACTACATGGGGCGCTTGATGGGGAAATACAAATTCAATCACAAGTGTAATTTAAACCCATGGTACCGCAATGGAAATGTTCTGTTAGCACAGCAAATTAAGCTGCGTTCGATTACAAGAGTGGTTTATTTTTTATTATTTTTCATTCCTCAAGCACACGCTGGCTGAAGCCTGGGTGCAGAAAACCTCGGAGCTGAACACCGATCACCAGTATTTCTGCTCTACTCACTTGGGGCACATTCTGAATCCCGGCGACCTTGTCTTGGGGTCTGTTCGCTTCTCGGTTTTTATCAAATAATTACTCGCTTCTCTGGAGTCTCTTTAGGCTTGCTTGTTGTCAAGAAAGCTTTGAACTGCTCTGCTATCTAAATGAAATCAGCAACAGGGATAGAATCATTCATCTTGTCCAGGAAGAACTAGTCCTAGTACAGGAGAACTTTTTTTTCCTAACAAGTCATCTCATAGAAAGGGCTGTTGGTACCAAGAGAGCTGACTTTAGGGTTTGGAGTTCAGACATGTAGGTGTGGAGGGATTTTTAAAATACCTGGCAGGATCTTTTTGTTCGGGAGTATCGCATACTGCGGTGATAAATGTGAGGGTTTTTTGCAAGATTAGGCAAATTAAGTGATTTTGAAACAGTCTTAAATATGAATGTTATTGGTGCTGTTGAGCAGAACCTCAGGGGGTGCTGGTGTCTGGGTTCAGGAGGCTGCAGAGTTTGGGAATAGAAGCTTCTCAGAGTTAGTCATCGTTAGGACAGCTGCACGTTGACAGGGATTATTTGCTTCGTTTGGAAATAGCTTTCTTAGGAGCTGTAACCTAACGTGCTGCTCTTTAATACAAATGTGGGGTACATCGAGTTCGCTTGGGTAGACTTCTATGAAAGGGTAGGATAAAATTACTGGTTTCGTTTTAGATTCGACTTGGCGAACTGCAACTTAAACGACGAGTTTGCCAATAAGATGAACCCCCACAACATTCCCGATGTGGTAAGATCTTTTTCTTTCTCTGTACAAAGTTCTCTGTGATACCCACGGGTATTAGGGAACAGCATTTTATAATGAATACTCGCTAGTTCGAGTTCACAGTGCCTGAAGGAAGAGGGGGATATTAATACTGAAATTTGAATGTCATCTAATTCTGAGAATTATTTTCTCACCGCTTGAGTAATACGTTAATTTTGGGGGTGTTTTTTTCAAATTGCCATGCATTGTGTGGTGAAAACTATTACAACTCCGGTGTGCTTGTGCTTCTTTGGACATAATCCAAAGTGTTTGGAAACTGGATGGACAAGCTACATAAATTCTGTATAAAACCAAGTGTTGGACTAACTACCGTTCATTCAGCTGATTTTACAGTTGCCCGAGTCTGTTCTACAGTTGCTGGAGTCTAGACTTGGGTGTTTTGGATTCTGAAAGAGTTCTTTGCCAGTATTGAAGGATAAATATGTGCTGGTTTTTACCGTAGGTATTGATAAAGAAGAGCTATGACCGAACCAAACGCCAGCGTCGCAGAAACTGGAAGCTGAAGGAGCTAGAAAGGGACAGAGAAGGCATGGATACCGACGATGAAAGGTGCAGTATCTGGCACGAAACTTTTCAGGCCAGGAGGATGTGGAAACGGACTAAAGCCTGAAATCTTAATGCTACAAGTTTTTTGAGTTTGCTCTTGCAAAATATAAAAACTATTTCTGAGAAAAGCTTAAATGATGAGACAAGCGAGTAATCGTGAGAGGATCCTCGTGTCTGTAGCCTACGTCTGGTGTCGGCCTAGCTGAAGGGATGCCCCTGTGAAAATCACTGGTTTGTTGAGTGACAAAGCTGATACAGCGACAGCAGGTTCTAAATGACATTCAGTTGAGTAGAAGAAAATAAGGCAATTAGAGTTAAATCATTACAGGTAAATTAAACATGGTTTGGAAACAAAGAGGTGACAGTTAAAGCAGAGAAAATGAGTTGGACATACAGGAGTGCTGTCAAAGGCACATGTGAGGGACTGGGGGTTGTGGCCCTTCCTTAGTGCTTTGTTTCTTTGGGTTTGTTTTGTTTCTTTGGGTTTATTTTGTTTTGCAAATTTGCCTAAATCCAAAGGAGAAGTGACTTGAGTGCATGAACTATCTTTTACAGACAATACCAGGACTTCCTTGAAGATCTCGAAGAAGATGAAGCCATAAGGAAGAACGTCAACATTTACCGAAGTAAGACTTAACCGTTCAACTGTGTGCAGCAATCACGACTGAGTGAACTCTGTTTGGATTCTCTGACCTCCTCATGCCTAGAAAAATGCTGTCGTGTCATCGCTTGAGGTGTTCAGTGGATTTCACAGGCACTGAGTGGATGCTGATGGTTTTGTTGGCTTGCTTTAACGTGGGAGAGAAGGGTATTTTCTCCCGCAACCAAATGCTCTGCTGACTGAAGAGTTTGACACATAATTCAGTGTCTTCCATGAGGGCAATTGCCAGGAGATTGTTGGGTTTTTTTAGGAGGGATTCATTTGGGTTCGGGGTTTGGGAGGTGGCTTTGGGGAGGTCGTTTTTTTTTTTATCCTTTTTTTCTTAGAGTTGTTCGGGTGGGAGATTGGGTTTGTTTTCTTTGCTTAGCTGTTTGTCATTTGTTTTCTGTCTTTTTATTTTTTTTTAGATGCAGATGTTCCAGTGGAGAGCGATACAGATGATGACGGGCCTCCACGAATCAGTCTGGCTGAAATGCTGGAGGATCTCCATATTTCTGAGGACGCCACCGGTGGGGAGGGAGCAAATATGATGACAGAATAAGAGTGGTGCGTTACTCAATGCAATAAATACTCCTTTAGTGAGGAAAAAGTACCCAAAACCTAAGTAAACATTACAACCTGAGAACATGAACATGAAAAGTCGTGTGATAACTTTCCTGTAACTTGATGGAAGATGCAGCGCTCGGTCAGAAAGATTGCAAACTTCTGTTAAGCATAATGAATGTTTTACTATATTCCACGCCTCTGTCAATGGTTTAAAAACAATATGCATCATATCTAATTAGTGCATCAGGTATGAACTATTAAAAAAAGCTATTCAGATATTTTTGGCCCACCTTGCTGTAGTTTGTCACCACTCATGTGCTCGTAAGAGAAATACACGGGGCTGAAGAGTCGCTGTTGCTGCAGTATCCGCTGCGGAGGTGTTGGGAGCACCTTGCTATTTTTCACCGCACTTCCTGGCTTTTTAAGGCCTCAAAGAAAAACTCAGAAAGAACCAAGGAGTTAGCTGTGCTCTGCCCGCTGCCAGGTGAGAGACATTTTTGCCTTACTCTTCGGTTTAACTTTTACTACGTGTTTCCAAACCGGTGCGAATCTGCTGCATTTCAGGCTTGCTGAGCTCGGGCAACGTGCTGGGGAAGGCAAAGGTAGTTTTGATTGTGGAAGTTGGAACTAGGATGAGTTACCAGTTACTTGTACTTTTTTTTCTTCCTCTTTTAAATCTCACAGTCTTGTGAAAATGGAAATCTGGAGAGGCAGTTGTGATGTAGCAAAGCTTGAAGCCGTCCATTGGCATTGTTAGCAGCTCAGCTGGCCCTTGCTGCATATTTGTGTCACGCTGAGTTCTTCTGCTTCCGCTCATGGGAGCTTTGACATTTTTTTTTACTATGTTGAAGAAAGCTGCTTAGAGCTACAGGTACAATTTATCTCATGACATTTAGTCATTTAGTTGAGTAGAGGGAAGGCATCAAACCATGCTTTAAAAATAGTCTGGAGAATGCAGCTGTACAGCGAACCTGAGTTATCACTACTGTAAAAATGGTGTATTAGACATATTTTACAGTAGTAACACCTGCCAGTAGTAGATAAACTCAGTCCTAGTGACCGTTGAGCCAGATCTGTGGAAACAGAAGAACTTTAATTTGTACCCTGCAGCCAGTGAATGCTTTCTGTGTCTGGGTGAGACGTGGTTTGGGTCTGATGTTTCTGACAGAGGTAAAAATGATCAAGCCTTTCTCTTACACGGTTGGTAATAGGCTTCCGGTTGCTGGCAGGTGAAGGGGAAGTAGTAAAAGTTTGGGTTAAGCTGTGTTGCTCTTCATTATATTCATTGATCAAGGGAGTTGTTTATTTTTTTGATGGGAGTGTACACACGTGTGAGTACCAGCGCTGACACGGAGCGTGTGTGATACTACACGTACTGCTACTGCTTGGTGCTAGTTTGTGAATAGTAGTGCAGGTAGAAAAGGGTTGTCTGAATGCGATGGTTAAATTTGAAGTGTGCTTGCCACATGTAGTAAGCTAGTAGTAAGACTAATAGGAAAGAATACTTTCTGAAGTATTTAAAAAAAAAAAAAAAAGGCACAGCCAGCTGGTGAGATTCTGTTTCAGCAGAAAAGAGAAGTTTTGTCGTTCAGAAGAGCCAAGGTTTTGTTCTTTCAGAAGCAAAGCTTTTATAGTGAGAAACCAAGTCAGGCTTCGTACAGTCCTCCAGCCCTGCCACGTAACTTCCCTGGCTAGGAGTAGTGGGCAGAAGTAGTTACTTAAGCTAATGGTCACTTTTTTACCCCCACCACTGAAGACAGAAAATGCAAGACAAGAGCTCAGCTCTGTGGGGTTTTAGTGCTGAATTTCCGTTTTGCTTAATGGTGAATCACTTCGGGGTCTTGTGGCCTCGTCTGTGTTGGAGAGGCAAGGGAGGAAACTGAGACCGCTCTTGGGGGAAGAAACGAGTATCTGTAGATGTTTCTTTCTGCCCCAAACAGAGGTGTCCAGGTAATTCGACATCTTCGCATCCATCCGAAGTGAGATGTGCCTGTGATGAACGAGTTAGTCCACCTGATGTCACTGTTCTTCACCTTCAGGGCCCCAGATCAGCTGCCCTGGAGAAAGGCTGGCTTGGAACTCTGAAGAACTTGCCTCTGCCAATGTTGTTCCTAAACTTGTCGTTGAAGTTTAAAAAGACATAACACTAACCTAAGAAAAGAGAAGACAAAAGCTGCTTTGATTTTGTTGTTAAAGAGCTTATTCCCCGCAAACTGCTCCTTCAATTCCATGATGAAAAATGAGGCAGAATCATCAAGAAAGACAAGTGCCTCAGTGTAATTTGAATATTCAGCTTTATAAAATGAAACAAGTACGCACGACTCAAATCCACAACCAGTGTACCTTTTCACAGCAACTAAAAATATTTCAGAGGTGTCGAGCACTGACAAGACTTGAAAGACCGTTTTAAAATAATCTGTGCTCAGTGACAAGCCTTGTAAGATAGAAGGAAACTATTGAAGCTGTAAATGATTTGGCAGGTTGTTTGCATCCCCCTTAGCGAGAGGAGACTTCATGCTGCACGGGCTGCAATGATTATGATTAACCCCTTTGGAATTAATGTAGGTCTTTAATTCGTACCTTTTTATGGGGCAGATCTGAGATACGAACGGCTGCAATATTTAACCCATGCGCCTGCTGAAAGGAATTTATGGTAGCGTACAAAAGCTGCACAGATTTGAAGCCGGTATGAATGCAGCAGAAGAGAAACCCCACAGTCGTTTGAAGCTCTGGGTTTGGTTTAGACGTTTCCTTAAAAGGCGAATGATTGCATTGAAAAGAATCCAGAATTAGGTCCTTTAGGAGCCCCCGAGGAGGGGAGGTGTTGAGGCTGCTGAGCTCTCTAGATCTGCGATGGAAACCTCATTCAGAGAGAGATGTGCAGGTTCCCAGCACAGCAGACCCAGTCCCGAAGCTGCCACCCTGGGGAAGGAGAGGCTGGAGCCAGCCTGGTGGAAGTGCCCCTACGAGCACCTGGGAGGGAAATTGCGCTCAGGCGTCTCCTCCAGCTGACTCTTGGCGGCAGCTGCTCCTCAGCCCTCCAGCAGCTCTGTGCCTGTTTCCACGCCCGGGTGCTCAGCTCCCTGGGCTGGCAGGTGGCTGGTGGTGCCCCAAGACTCAGACCTGGCACAAGGATGCATACGCTCCAAATGGGATTTAAAAGGAATTCTCGTGAATCCAAATTGTGACAATGTTGAGACAGCTGCTGTTTAACCTTGGCAGCCTCCAAACTCCAGATATAGCTCACTCATTTACCGCAGGTTCCTCGTCGTCTGAATTTGCTCCTGCCCGAAGCTCACAGTCTTCAGCCTGACACAGTCTCTCGGAAGGATTCCTACTGCTGCGGCTTTCCCGCTCTCTGATGAGGTCAGCCTGGGTGGAAATGCTTTGTCAAAGTTTGGGTATTCGTAGCTACTCCAGGCCTTCTCTAAATTCTGTCTGTAATATAGAAGCCTTGCTAAGTGACTTCCAGTCCTCGTGCGCCCTGGGGTCCGGGAGGGTTTATCAGGCTCTTTAGTGAAATATTAACAGAGAACTCAGATTCATAGATAGGAGGTGGGGAGGTAAGAAGTTGGTGCAGCCCTTTTGCCTGTGCTTAGAGCTTTGGATACCAATTCTTCCTGTAACAGGCAGAGCCATCCTACCTCTCCTTTTAGGGGATCACCTGGTGGCCTGAACCCCAAGCTGTCACACGAGGTGGGTCACAAACTCATTCGTGTTGCGGTGATTGCAGAGGGTTTTGAGAAAATCAGAAATCACGCTCGTTGAGTGCTCGAGCACCTACAAACTCCTGTTGTGCCTGATGTATGCTCAGGGAGGAGCACTGTCAGGAGGAGGGTTGTGGAGAGCCTTGCTCCGGCACATCTCACGTTGGGAATTCTTTTGGTGCCTACTCGTTCAGTGCAGGTCAAAAGGAGGCTGGACTTGAGACCTTTTTGCCTCATGTGAATGCCACAGCCATTGGGCTACTGGCTTTCTCTCCTCCTTATAAGGCAGCCACGGCTGTTTACGCAAACCCGACTGGCAAACAGAATTCGTGAAGTCGTGGGATAAGCAGAAGGCAAACCCTGAGCTGCTCAGCTGTCTGTTAAGTACCTTGAATTGTTCTCCGGTGAATTTTAGGAGCTCCGGGGTGTCTAGTTTGAAACAGCAGACCAAGAGTGGAAAACTTACGTTGTGAGATTGTGGACCAGATATTAAATATTAGAGCTGAAATGGGCAATATTCTTATATGCATTTCCTACAGCCTTCAATTTCTATGTAAATACTGTCCCATTTAGTATTTACACAGTATATTGGAAATGTCACCAATGTAGGAACAAGTATTTTTCTGCAACAAGGCTGTAAAAAGCTGTTGCATGAGGTGGTTTCAGCCGAGCAGCAAAGTTAGGCAGAAAGTTTCAGCCAAGCAGGACGGAGTAACTTAAGGTCAGGTTTGGAAAAGGAAACAGATCTGCTGTAAACTCAACGTTATTCTAAGCAAATATACACAAGGTGAAAAGGAGTATGTTCTGTGGGGTGCAGAGGCTATTTAGTGCTGACAAGTTCTTCTTAGAAACAGGATTTTCAAGTCAGATAATGAGTAGCCAAGATAAGAACTCCAATTACGCTCAGATGTAAACAATAGCACAGACCAAATGCGTATGTCATAGCAAAATAATCAAAGTAACAACATGGAGCATGAACTTATCTTAGGCCTCTAATAGTAGCAGAGGGAGTAAAGTTCTGCTGAACAAAATCATCATCTTCATTGCCTTTAGGAAGTTGAAACTATCTGGATCGATACAATACAGATAATAGTTTAATGAGGGAGAAGCTATGCAAGTCCTACAATAAAAAACCTTGATAATGTGGGGGCTGTGAGTCTGCCTTTCTGTGTTAGAGCTGGAAAGGTCCAACAGCGTGTAGTGACCAGTGTGAGCCATTCTGTTCTAGCAGGCGTTTATTACTTTGTTCTTGAGTTTCAACTCTTGCCCAGCCAGCGTTGATAAGTTG